CGGGACATATTTACTTATACTGTCGATTCCCTTGCCGGGATAGTGTAGTTCTTTATTGATCCCTTGCCGGGTCTCTTGTTATTATTGTTGTTGATTGTATATGTGGATTGGGTTGCGCACCACAACAATGTTATATTTGGATCGGGTTGCACGCCGCAACAATGATAAATGATATGGATCGGGTTGCACGCCGCAACAATGATAAATGATATGGATCGGGTTGCACGCCACAACAGTGTTATTATATGTTGGGATCGGGTTGCGCGCCGCAACAATTGATGATACACGTGTTTATAGATTAGAGACAAGTTCCTTATTATTTTGCTGTGAATTTTAAGTTGTCCTTATGCCCTTACTCTTGATTTACTGTTGATATTGATATACCCCCGCAACATGTACCCCCTCCCATCTTTACTTGTTATTCTTGTTTTATTTTCCGTTGCATATTATATAACTGCACAAGTTTATCCGGTAGTCTAGTCCTAGCCTCGTCACTACTTCATCGAGGTTAGGCTAGGCACTTACCAGCACATGGGGTCGGTTGTGCTGATGCTACACTCTACACTATGTGCAGATCCCGGAGCAGCTTTTGGACAGTAGCATTTGGGGCGGCTGCCTTGAGTCCGGCTAGATATCCCGAGGTAGTCCTGCAGGCGTCCCCAGGCACGACGTTCTCTTCTATCTTATTATGTATTCTGTTTTCAGTTGTTTCCGACACAGATTGTCCTTCCTTTTCAGACAGTTTCTTGTATAATTCATAGACAGTCCGTGATATTGTGACACCGGATTTTGGGTAGAGACGTATGTTAGCATTGTCGTACTGGCTTTGGTTATTCTATCAGATTAAGTCTTCCGCTTGATTTTATTTATCGTTAATATTTCAATGTTGATTACCTGTTAATTCAAATTGTTAAAAAGGGCTAAAATAAAAGAGTTAGTGATTCTTTATTTAGCGGCTTGCCTAGCTTCTACGAGTAGGTGCCATCACGACTCCCGAGGGTGGGAAATCGGGGTCGTGACAAGTTGGTATCAGAGCTCTAGGTTACATAGGTCTCACAATTCACGGAAAAGCTTAGTAGAGTCTGAGGGATCGGTACAGAGATGTCTGTATTTATCCCCTAGAGGCTACAGAGTTAGGAAAAACTTCATATTTATTCTTTCTTGTCGTGCGATTTGGTTTCTCAATGCTAATTGAATTTTTACTATGTTCTTTCGCAGATGGCAGGAACACGCGCTTCCTCATCCATCGATCAGCAGCTCCCTCGAGGGGCAGAGGACGAGGCCGAGGCCGTGCTAGTGGCCGAGGTAGGGGAAAAGCTCAGCCGAGAGCAGCAGCACCAGCGGCAGAGCCTCAGGTTGACTTTGATGATGAGGTTCTAGCCCAGACAGTTCCGGTGGGCCCAGTTCAAGTCCCAGAGGGGTTTATTGCTACCCCATTACTCCAGGATGCTCTGGTCCGTCTAGTGGGCCTTGTAGAGAGTGTCACCTGGACATGCTTTCTTCTCGTAGCCCCAGCCGTCTCTCAGGCTGGAGGAGGAGCCCAGACTCCTGCTACTCGCACTCCAGAGCAGGTAGCTCCCTAGTTTCAGACTCCAGCAGCTCAGCCAGTTGGAGCAGTTCCACCGGGTGTGGTAGCTCAGACCGGTGATGGACTAGCTATGTTTGTCGATGCCTTGTGGAGGTTGGACAGGTTCACCAAGCTCTTCACTACTACCTTCAGCGGTGCATCTTCTGAGAATCCCCAGGATTATCAGACAGCTGTCATGAGGTTCTCAGGGATAGTAAAGACCAATGGGGTCGATTTTGCTACTTTTTGCTTATCTGGATCTACCAAGACTTGGTGGAGAGATTATTGCTTGGCTAGACAAGACGGATCACCAGCCTTGACTTGGGAGCAGTTTACCCAGCTATTTCTGGAGAAGTTTCTCCCTATTACTCTGAGAGAGATCTATCGGAGGCAGTTTGAGTGTCTCCAGCAAGGTTCTATGACTGTTAGTCAGTATGAGACCAGATTCATCAACTTGGCATGTCATGCTCTTATCATACTTCCCACCGAGAGAGAGAGAGAGAGGGTGAGGAGGTTCATTGAGGGCCTTATCCAGCCTATTCGACTTCAGATGGCCAAGGAGACTGGGAGTGAGATTTCTTTCCAGGAGGCGGCCAATGTGGCCAGGAGAGTTGAGATGGTTCTATCGCAGGGAGGTGGTCAGGGGTCTAATAAGAGGCCTCGTCATTTAGGCCGATTCAGTGGTACCTCGTCTGGAGGAAGAGATTCGTATGGTAGAGGCCATCCTCCTAGGCCTTTTTAGTTAGCCCTTCAGGTTTCTCACGGTGCTTCATGTGGGCTGACAAGGTCAATGCGTATAAGATTTTGCTACTCGTACACTATCAAATTCTAGTATAGTTTATGATATCATCCCACCAAGACTGGAGAATCTAGCTACAAACTTATAATGTTCTTACTACTGTTTGAGAGAATCAAATTGATGAAGTTTTGTTTGTTGAAAATTTAAATTGCTTAAGTTGAAACTAAATAACTTTCGGAAGATTTATATTTAAAAAGAGTTGGGAATCATTGAATTCACTTGATAGCATGATAATAATAAAATCTTAGCTTCTACATATATTTCTCTTAGGAATAACTGTTTATTGCTAATACAATTATATTTTGCTCACTAAGAAATAATCAATTAACAACACTCCGCGAGATTATGTAAATCAATTGATATATTACTTGTGATGATTAAACCGAAATAATTTTCTTGCCTGAATTGTGCTAAAAGATAGCAAAAACCTCTTGCGATTACTTTTTACTAAAAATCAATAATCTTGCCAACTACAACTCCTCCGTGAGAATTAGAATGGAAGTAAGCAAGATTACAGACTTGGAATGATAGCTTAAAAAGAATTACTCTCAATCTATTATTTTACCCAATAGTTATCGTATATTAATTTTGCTTCGTGAGAATTACAAAATTGATATACAACTAACTTTGGAAAATAAATAGATAGAAGTGATAATAATTAATTAAAACTAATATTCCAACACAATATAGAAATATAATTAGAAAGTTTCAGGTCAAGCATGTAGTAAAATTGAGATTAATATTATAACGCTATCGAGCTTCATCAACTATCCCAACAAAAGAGATTACTCCATTATGGAGTATTTAAATCTCACAAAGAAAGAAATTCTTAAAATACTATCAACACTCTTAGAAAATTCAAAGACTACAAGATAAAATAAAATAGATAAAGAAAGAAGCAAAGACCAAAACTAGAGAAAAGTTGTTAATTAGGCACAAATGATCCCTCCCCCCCTTTCAACACAAACATCCTATTTATAGAAATCAAATCTCATAAGGTGCCACGATGTCTCGTGGTTCTTTTGCCATGATGCGTCGTGCTTCTATTGCCATGATGCGTCGTGCTTCTATTGCCATGATGCCTCGTAGTTCTTTTGCCATGATGCCTCGTGCTTCTCTTTTATTCCTTTATTTGCTTTATCATGATATTTTTATTTCCTGCAAAATACTATTAGAAAATACAGATAATTGACATATTATATGTATATTATTTAAAATAATTTATTTTTAAGTATATAATATATGAATATTTTATAGTCATCAAACTCCCCCGCACTTGAATCCTTGCTCGTCCTCGAGGCAGTAATTTTATTAATAATTGTTGTTTCTTGTACAATAGAAAAGTAAAAAAAATAAAGTTTCACATAAAATTCAAAACCTATAAGTTTTTCAAGTTGCCAAATCTATACCTTGTTTCTGCTTCTGCTTTTGTTTGCCAAAAACTTTCAACTCCTCTTTTGATGAACCTTTTGAGATTGATAACATTATGATTACAATTTCGTGTTTCTCAAATTTTGTCCATAGGCTTGCCCTTTATGTCAGTCTCCACTAATGTAGAATCAACACTAATTTCTAAAATTATTTTAGGACTTTTTCAAGCTTGTAATGATAGGCTTAATGCTGGTAAGGTAAAAGGATATATTTGTAGTGACTTTGTTCCATCCAGCTTTATTATGAGAGCCGATTATTTTACCAAAGTAACTATGTACAACTCAACACAAGAAATAACTCTAGAGATTGGGCTAAAGGTCCCGGTCTCCTATTTCATAATTAATATCACTTAAGTCATCATTTCTCTCAATAGATTTCTTAAATTCAAGCTTCTTGAACCAATAATTTATTTTACAGGTATATACACCTTGTTTTCCTCTTTTTTTTAAGAGTGAAATAGAACATTTACTCCATAAGTATTCCTTCATCGCTTGCTTTAATAATCATTTTTGCTCAACTATAACTGGAAGGATTATCAATCTTTTTGTAAGGTAAACCAATATGGTGTATCAATAAAAGTTGGTTTATCCCTCGTTTTTTTTGTTTTTTGGTCTCAAAGTTGGGTCCTAAAAGGTAAAATATAAATATTTGTGGTTAAAAATAAATAGGCTAAAAAGTGTGTCAAAGATAGCCTAATTTCATTCTAAAAATAGCTAGAATTTCGCTTTGATAGACATTTGGGGCAAGTTCTAGCAAAATTTTATTGATTCTACCTGTTGAGATCATAATGCTTCTCAATTCCAATACTTTCTCAAATTTGGAGATACTCGTTCTTGCATTCACAAAAATAAAATCACAAACTTGGAAGTTATATGGCAAAATGAAAAAAATTATGTTTGAAAAATATGTAAACTTTTATTTTAAAACTTTAATATTGTACAAGAACAACAATTAAGAATAAAATAAAAGATGAATATATATATGTGTGTATATATATATATATATGAGAGAGAGAAGAAAAAACTTGAAAGAGTGTGTGACAACACATATTTTTATATGTAATAGACTGACTAATTTAAGACTTTATTAGTCATTTGGTCCTGATTTAAATATAAACCAACAAATTTACATGTGCCAACATTTTGAATTGATTCATTAAATGGTTAATCAACCAGTTACTTAGGCATACTGATCACCATGGAGTTACTCCTCCACAGGTGACTCTGTTTTTGTAGAGGCCTTCATGAGATGTTCTAGTTGTACAATAACCTGGATATTGACCAGATTAATTGATTAAGTATTTAATTACCCAAATATATGTCAGGCTTATGAGGCTCCACTGCTTCTCCCTCAATGGCTACGAGTTTTGTATCTTGGTTCTGAGTTTAACGTCATCAGCTCGACTTATTAATTGCGGAATTCATCAGTCTATCAAAGTAACCGATGGATGTTGTTCAAAATGTCTTCCATAGTAAAATTTTAGCATGTGACCATTTACCTTAAACTTGTCTCCTCCATTTTTCTGAATTTCAATTGCCCCGTATGGAGTAACACCTGTAACATTGTAAGGACCTGTCCACCTAGATTTTAATTTTCCTGGGAATAACCTGAGTCGGCTATTGTAAAGATGTACCTGATCTCCAATTTTGAAACTCTTTGGTCGGATCAATTTGTCATGCCATATTTTTGTTTTTTCTTTAAAAATTTTAGCATTTTCATAGGCTCCCAATCTCAGTTCTTCCAATTCATTAACCTGAATAAATCGCTTTTTACCAGCGGAGGTTAAATCAAAGTTCAGTGCTTTCAATGCCCAAAAAGCTTTATGTTCTAATTCTACGGGAAAATAACAAGCTTTTCCAAAGACTAATCTATATGGAGATGTTCCAATTGGCATTTTGAATGTCGTTCAGTACGCCCATAATGCATCATCTAATTTTAAAGCCCAGTCTTTTCTTGAAACTCCAACCATTTTTTCAAGAATTCTTTTTAACTCGCGATTGGAAACCTCAACTTGCCCTTGAGTTTGAGCATGATATGGTGTTCCTGTTTTGTGAGTCACATTATATTTTGACAGTAAACAAAAAAAAATGTCTATTGATAAAATGAGTTCCTTGATCACTAGTGATGACTCGCGGCGTGCCAAATCTAGTAAAAATATTTTTTCTAAGAAAATTGCACACTATACGAGCATCATTATTCCTTGTGGGGATGACTTCAACCCATCTTGACACATAATCCACAACCACAAGGATATATTCAAAAGAGTGAGAAGAAGGAAAAGGACCCATAAAATCTATTCCCCAAACATAAAATATTTCACATACCTATATTGATTGCAGAGGCATCTCATCTCTCTTGGTGATATACCCTGTTCTCTGACTCCTGTCACATTATGCTACATATGCTCGATCATCTTTAAAGAGTGGTCCAGAAGAATCCGGCTTTTGAAACTTTAAAAGTCGTTCGATTTGCTGCATAATGTCCTCCAATTGCTCCATCATGACGGTGATATAGAATTTTATTCATATCTTCTTTAGGTACACACCTTCTAATGACATTATCAAATGACATTCTCCTATAGGCATATGTTCCATGAGGGCATGTGAAGGTTGTCTTATCTTGATCTTCTGGTGCAATTGGTATCTGATTATATCCTGAATAGCCATCAAGAAAACAGTAAAAACCATATCCGGCAATTCTTTCCAACATTTGATCAATAAATGGCAAAGGAAAATGATCTTTTCTAGTGACATCATTGAGACGTCTGTAATCAATACAGACTCTCCATCCTGTAACAGTCCTGGTAGGTATGAGCTCATTATTTTTATTTTTTATAACTGTCATACCTCCTTGCTTTGGTACTACCTGAACGGGACTTACCCACGAGCTGTCAGAAATGGGGTATATAATACTTGCTGCCAACAACTTTACGATCTCTTTTTTCACTACTTCATGCATTGCTGGATTCAATCTTCTTTGCGGCTGGACTGTTGGCTTGTAGCTATCCTCCATGAGGATTCTGTGTGTACAAAAAGCCGGACTAATCCCTTTAATATCTTCTACAGTCCACCCCAAGGCTCCTTTGTGTGCTTTCAATACTTTAATCAAACTATTTTCTTGTTCTGCAGTAAGAGAAGATGAAATAATTACTGGAAATAATTCTTGCTCAAGATAAACATATTTCAAATGAGAAGGTAGAGTTTTGAGTTCAATTTTTGATTGAACTTTTTCGGATTTCATCTCTTCTTCTTCTGAATCTTTGTCCAATATTTCTTTCTGATAGTGGGATCATCGTCCTGTGTGGTGCCTGATTTGACCAAGCATCTTTCTATTGAATTTGAAATTAATTGATCATCTTTTAATTCATCTGTAAGATAACTAATCATGTCAATTGAAAAACATGAAGATGATGTTTCATCTCCTGAATATCTTAGTATCTTTTGCATATCAAATATGACTCTTTCTTCATCAACTCTTAAAATTAATTGTCCTTGATGAACATCTATAATTGCTCTTCCTGTAGCAAGAAATGGTCTACCTAAAATTATTGGTTCATTAGGACATTCTTTCATTTCAAGCACTATAAAATCTACAGGGAAAACAAACTTATCTACTCTTACGAGTACATTTTCAATTATTCCCTTAGGTTTCTTAGTACTTTGATCTGCAAACTGAAGAGAAACACTTGTGTCTTTTATTTCACCAAGATCTAACTTTTTAAAGATAGAAAATGGCATTAAATTTATTGAAGCTCCAGAATCACAAAGTGCTTTTTCAAAATATACTCCTCTCAAAGTGCATGGAATTGTAAAACTGCCTGGATCACCAAGTTTTTGTGGAAGCTTATTTTGAAGTATAGCACTGAATTTTTTCGTAAGCATTACCACAAAAACTTCTTCTAATTTTCTTTTACTTGACAAATTTAAAAATTTGGCATATGAAGGCATTTGCAACAAAGCATCAGTAAAATGAATATTGATATGAATTTGTTTTAAAATCTCCATAAATTTTGCAAATTGGTTGTCAAGCTTTTCTCTTTTCATTTTTTGTGGAAAGGGAATAGTCACAGGGAGAGGAGTCAATTTTTCAATATTTTTTTCTTCTTTTTTCTTGACTTCATTCTTTTTAGATGGTTCAGAGGGTATTTCAACATTCTTACCGTTGTTTACCTGTTGTTCTGACTGGTCTACATAGGGTTCATCAAGATCCTTACCTGACCGTAAGGTGATGGCCTTAAGGTGCTCTTTTGGGTTTTTCTCTGTATTGCTTGGTAAAGGACCTTGAATCTTTTCTGAAACAAGAGCTGCCAATTGGCTCAACTGTATTTCCAGATTTTTGAGGGATGATTTTTGGATCTCCATCTTTTCATCAGTGACCTTAATATACTTATACAGAAGATCATTAAGACTTGAATGAGCTTGTTGAGGCCTTTGCTGATAGGGCCCTGCTTGTTGATAAGGTCTAAAGTTTGATTGACCATGGTTTGGATTCTGGTATCCGGGTGGATCCTGTATTTGTTGCTTCTGTAAGCTTTGAGAGTTCTCTGCACCATTTGGATTGCTCCCTGAAATCCTGGATGTTTTTGTGTCATTGAACTTCCAAAAGGATACTGCTTGTAACCGATGACATTGACATGTTCATCATTGTGATTGATTGCTTGACATTCATGGTTCTGCTGATTTCCTCCACACATGTCACAAGCCTCAGATTGGCTTGGTTTTTGTGTATTCACCTGAAAAGTTTCAAACTTTTGTGCCAAAGAAATAATTTGCTATATTAGTGTATTTAAAGCATCAACCTGATTTACTGTAGCGGCCTTCTTGATAATTATACGCTCAGATGGCCATTGGATGTCATTCTCAGAAATTTCATTCAGCAATTGCAATGCTTCCTCTGTTGTTTTTCCCATTATTGAACCTCCTTCAGCTGCATCTATCACATTTCTAGAAGAGGGTTTTAGCCTGTGATAAAAAATATACAATTGCATATGTTCAGGAATATCGTGGTGTGGACATTTTCTTAACATTGCTTTTAACCTTTCCCAAGCTTGATAAACTGACTCTGTGTCAGTCTGCAAGAAATTAGATATGTCTTGTCTTAACTTTGTAGTTTTAGCAGGGGAAAAATATTTGTTTAAAAATTTCTGAGTCATTTGATCCCATGTGGTAATGGAACCTTGTGGCAAACTTCGCAACCACGTATTGGCATCTCCTTTTAAAGAGAAAGGAAATAGCCTTAACTTGATAGCTTCAGGAGGTACTCCATNGAAATCAGTTAGTAGTAACAGTAACTAAAGATGAAAAATAATAATATAATACTAATATAGAATATAGTTACAAGTAGTACTAGTATTAATAATAGTGACTGCTATGCTATAATGATGATAAGAAGGATAAATGATAATAACACTTGTATAAGATGTTAGTACTTGTAATAGTAAAAGTAATAGTAGTAATATTTACTAAACATTGATAGCAAAGATAATAATACTAATAGTAAGTTCCCAAATTAGTAACATAACATTTAGTCTGAAGTAGACTTGTGCCAATCCCCGGCAACGGCGCCAAAAATTTGACGAGGCCAATACGTATAAGATTTTGCTACTCGTACTCTATCAAATTCTAGTATAGTTTATGATATCGTCCCACAGAGATTGGAGAATCTAGCTACAAACTTATAATGTTCTTACTACTATTTGAGAGAATCAAATTGATGAAGTTTTGTTTGTTGAAAATTTAAATTGCTTAAGTTGAAACTAAATAACTTTCGGAAGATTTATATTTAAAAAGAGTTGGGAATCATTGAATTCACTCGATAGCGTGATAATAATAAAATCTTAGCTTCTACATATATTTCTCTTAGGAATAACTGTTTATTGCTAATACAATTATATTTTGCTCACTAAGAAATAATCAATTAACAACACTCCACGAGGTTATGTAAATCAATTGATATATTACTTGTGACGATTAAACCGAAATAATTTTCTTTCCTGAATTGTGCTAAAAGATAGCAAAAACCTCTTGCGATTACTTTTTACTAAAAATCAATAATCTTGCCAACTACAACTCCTCCGTGAGAATTATAATGGAAGTAAGCAAGATTACAGACTTGGAATGGTAGCTTAAAAAGAATTACTCTCAATCTATTATTTTTCCCAATAGTTATCGTATATTAATTTTGCTTCGTGAGAATTACAAAATTGACATACAACTAACTTTGGAGAATAAATAGATAGAAGTGATAATAATTAATTAAAACTAATATTCCAGCACAATATAGAAATATAATTAGAAAGTTTCAGGTCAAGCATGTAGTAAAATTGAGATTAATATTAGAACGCTATCGAGCTTCATCAACTATCCCAACAAAAGAGATTACTCCATTATGGAGTATTTGAATCTCACAAAGAAAGAAATTCTTAAAATACTATCAACACTCTTAGAAAATTCAAAGACTATACGATAAAATGAAATAGATAAAGAAAGAAGCAAAGACCAAAACTAGAGAAAAGTTGTTAATTATGCACATATGATCCTCCCCCGCTCCTTCAACACAAACATCCTATTTATAGAAATCAAATCTCATAAGGTGCCACGGTGTCTCGTGGTTCTTTTGCCATGATGCGTCGTGCTTCGATTGCCATGATGCGCCGTGCTTCTATTGCCATGATGCCTCGTGGTTCTTTTGCCATGATGCCTCGTGCTTCTCTTTTTATTCCTTTATTTTCTTTATCATGATATTTTTATTTCCTGCAAAATACTATTAGCAAATACAGATAATTGACATATTATATATATATATATTATTTAAAATAATTTATTTTTAAGTATATAATATATGAATATTTTATAGTCATCATGGGCGTGGTTCTCACACGCAGTATTCTGATCA